GATAGCATGCAATTTGTGACTGAAGATGTTGAAGAGGATCCAGATTGGCGTGATGAGGCTTATGTTAATAATGAACATTTGAGTACGAATAACCACCCCCGACGAGTTTGAAGATGATGAGTGGATTCGTTCTTCCACGGTACAAGATATGTGCATTGGCCAAAGTTCAACTCATAGAAGAGATGATGACGTCCCTTTCAGAGTTGGAGATTTATTCGAGACAATGACCAATTGGTTGATGCTATTCGTGATTACTCAATAAAAAAGAATGTCAAATTCAAGCAAGTTAAAAGCAATTGCACAAGTTATGATGCAATTTGTTTTATGAATACACAAAGGAAATGTTAGGCCGAGGGAAATGAAGCTGATTACACATGTTCTTGGAAGTTATATGCATTTGCCGGAACAAAACATAATGTGCATTTTATGATCACAGAATACTACGGTGTTCACACATGTAGTAATCCGATATTAGAGCAAGATCACAGTGGTGCATCCGCCTCTTACATAGCGCGGTTGATTATGCCAAAATTAAAGAAGAAGCTTGAACTAACTCTCAGTAATACAATTGAGAAAGTGATAGATACGAAGTTTATTAAAATATCATATAGTAAAGCATGGAATGCAAGGAGAATTGCGATGATAAAAATATTTGGTGATTGGGAGAAGTCTTACGCGACACTACCTCAATATCTTAATGCAATCAAAGAAACAATCCTGGATCTGAATACAAACTCATAACCAAAGAGATCAATCTGGGAGTTCATCAATTCACCTCTGTATTTTGGGTATTTGGTCCTTCAATCGATGGATTTAAATTTTGTCGGTAGGTTCTTAGCATTGATAGCACACACTTATATGGTAAATATAAGGGTGTATTGCTTATTGCTACAGGAGTAGATGCAGATGGTGGCTTATTCCTTTGGCCTTCGCAGTTGTGGAGGTCGAGAATAGTGAAAATTGAGAGTGATTTTTTCCTGCATTCAATTATATATTTTTAATGTGTTGCCTCCTAGGAAAATTACTTTTATATCCGATAGGATGAAGGGTACTCCTAAAGCATTGTATAAGGGATTTGGCTCTTATCACCATCATCACTATTGCTTAAGACACATTAGAGCTAATTTAAAAAAGAGCTTTGGTCAGATACATTTATCAAACCTTCTTTGGCAAGTGGGTTGTACACCCGAAACATGTGTGTATGATCGGATACATGATCAAATCAATGCAACATCTCAAGCTGCACATGACTGAATTGAGAGTAGTTTGAGAAGTGAACATGTCGACCATTGGGTACTAAGTAAAGATGGAGGGAATCAGTTTTACATGATGATAATTAATTGTTCTGAAAGCTTCAACGGGGTACTTAAGGGGGCTCGAGCAATACACATACATGCGTTGGTTGCAAGGATATTTTATAGACTCAATCACTATTTTGTTAAGCGGAGAGAGGATGGAGCAAAGTGGATGACGTTATTGACACAAAAAAATAAAGAGATTGTAGGGTTTCATGTCAAGCAGATGAGATCATCGAGGATTGTTAAATTTGTTGTAGATGAATGACAGGTTACAGACAAACACGGTCATAATTACACCATCAATTTACGTGGGACACAACGCACATGCACTTGTAACAAACCAGAATTGCAAAAATTGATGTTCACATGTTATAACGGTTACGTCCAAGCAATTTGGGGGTGCAAATACTTTGTATTACACATACACTTCTGAGTGGTATCAATCAAGCCACTATAGAGATTCATACAAGCAGTGTTTCCATCCTATTGTAGATAGTCGTTACCGGCCACCCTATAACGGGTGTCATGTATTACCTCCTGAATATAAGAGACAAGTCGGACGTTCGCGATCATTATGCATAAAAGGTACCATGGATGAAGGATGGGAAGGAGCTCCAAAAAAAAGGTGTGGATATTGCAGACAACCGGACCATAATATATCTCATTGTCCTACTAACCCAAATAGATAGAATTAATAGGTACAATTTATTTAATTTTTAATTTTATTCTACTTCCTTTGTAAGTCAATGCGTATATATAAATTCTATAATTTACTTCTAATTCTAATTTATCATACGTCATAATACTGACATATTTTATCATCATAAGTGCAGATATTTACAGTATGGAGGCGGGTCCATTAACATATGAGGTTCTTTATGACCAAGATCGACATTGATACGTGAAGATAGACTCTGGGGAGGTAAATTACATTTTTATTATTTTCAATCATTTCAAAATTTCAATGTTCTTATTGTTACTAAACATTTGCACTGTTTAATATATGCACACCTCGAGTATTACTATTGTTGATCATACTCGCGCACATTCGAGTTGGGATTTGACGGATCTACAGGTCCAATATTATGTTCATCAAGCAAGCTTTTTTGAATGTTCACAAATAAAATAGGTAAGACTTGATTGGCCTCTCTTGACGGCATTGATTGAACGATGGAGGTTCGAGACAAGTACATTTCACATCCGTCAAGGAGAGTCGACGATTACTCTGTACGATGTTGGGGTTTTACTTAGCCTCAAAGTAGATGGAGAAGCTGTTATGGGTACCGATGACTTCAACTAGATATGAGTGTGTGAATGATTGCTGGGTTAAGCTCCTACTATGAAGGGTGGTAAGATCAAGCTTGAGTGGTTACTAAATAATTATATGAATGTACCAATTGATGTAACTGATGAGATCGTTAAGAGCTATGCCCGTGCGTATATACTCCATATGATTGGTACCGTTCTATTTCTGGATTCCACTAAGGATTCAGTGCATGTGAGATGGTTGCCACTTCTTGAGGATCTTGAGGAATGTGGAGGGTTATCCTAGGGGAGTGCAGTGTTAGCTTATCTCTATAGGGAGAAGACAAAAGTGGCACTCGTGCAAAATAAAGAATTCAAGGGTTGCCTCACTTTGTTGCAAATATGGTCATGGGAGTGATGACATTTGGGAACACCAGATTTGAGGAAGACATGCGCACTCGACGGCCAGATTCCATAATGATGCAGGTATATTAGTTTGTAATAAATATGATTACATATAATTTTATACATTTATTTCAATCTATACTAACCCTTTGTATATCAAATAAATGGTTTGTTTCCAGATCTTGGCAAACCTCCCCAAAGGGTCACAGAAACTTTTACAAGAACGAGCTTGATCAAATGGAGGATGAACATGTATAAAATTATAATATCTAAATATATTCAATCAATACATTTTTTTACTGATATGTGAATTTACATAATTTTCTTTATAGGTCAAGTGGATGCCCTATGAACTGGTTTTAGCTTCACTACCAGATTTTTGCAGAGAAGGTAAAGATATATGGCGTGCTCGAGTACCGATTATATGTTTTGAGATTGTCGAAATGCACGTGCCTGACCGTGTGCTCCGACAATTTGAATTAAAATAACATATTCCAGATCCTGTAGAAAGAATAGAGCGAAATCCCCGAAAGGAGCATATCATGCAAATTAGGAGATAATTCATCATGCTTACATTGAGATCATCCGAGCTCATGTTGAAGGTGAATGGGGAAGGGGGAGAGGAAGAAGATGCAGAGGGAGAGGGAGAGGGAGAGGAAGCTCTAAATTTTTGTTAAATTTCGATATACTTCATACGATGTTTATATTTGGAATGCTATGATGTTTATGTTTGAAAGGCTACTGTGACTTGATTATTGTTGGATTTTTAGTATGTGAATTAAATGTTACGTTTTTGTTAAAGATTTGTTATAGATGTAATAATTATATAAAGATATGTGTTTATTTGTGTTTGAAATTGATTATGGATTGATAAATGTGTAGCAAGAGAGTTGGTGTTAAACTTGTGGATTGATATGTGTTAGCAGGAGATGAGATTTTCCAACAAAGTATGAGCTGGAGGGTTTCTGCTAAATAGTAGGAGTTCCCAACCCCGACCATTTTTGTTTGGGGTTGCCCAAGCTTTGCTAAATGGTCGGGGTTGGGAACCCTGATCATTTCGAAGCAAGTCGAAATGATCGGGGTTCCCAAACCCGACCCAACCCCGACCATTTTGTGCAATGTTTAGAGGCCTAACCACCGGATGACTGTGGGCGAGTTCCTAATTAGTCGGGGTTGGCAACCTCGACTAATTATGATCATGATTTTTTTAAAACGACCAACTTTCTGGCCACGGAGCTAAAGTGGCAAGAAAGTGAGTCGATTTTGATAAATAAATTTGGATAATGTCAATTTTGGGAATAAAAATTTTGAATGAGTTTATTTTAAAAATTTATTCTATAAAATAATCTACATGTCTTAATTTGAAATCAACTAAATTTACGAAGATGACATTAGTTTTTGATTTTTTTAATTAAAAAAAAAAAAGGATTTGCCAAGTTTATTTCCAAATATATAAAGATATGTGTTTATTTGTGTTTGAAATTGATTATGGATTGATAAATGTGTAGCAAGAGAGTTGGTGTTAAACTTGTGGATTGATATGTGTTAGCAGGAGATGAGATTTTCCAACAAAGTATGAGCTGGAGGGTTTCTGCTAAATAGTAGGAGTTCCCAACCCCGACCATTTTTGTTTGGGGTTGCCCAAGCTTTGCTAAATGGTCGGGGTTGGGAACCCTGATCATTTCGAAGCAAGTCGAAATGATCGGGGTTCCCAAACCCGACCCAACCCCGACCATTTTGTGCAATGTTTAGAGGCCTAACCACCGGATGACTGTGGGCGAGTTCCTAATTAGTCGGGGTTGGCAACCTCGACTAATTATGATCATGATTTTTTTAAAACGACCAACTTTCTGGCCACGGAGCTAAAGTGGCAAGAAAGTGAGTCGATTTTGATAAATAAATTTGGATAATGTCAATTTTGGGAATAAAAATTTTGAATGAGTTTATTTTAAAAATTTATTCTATAAAATAATCTACATGTCTTAATTTGAAATCAACTAAATTTACGAAGATGACATTAGTTTTTGATTTTTTTAATTAAAAAAAAAAAAGGATTTGCCAAGTTTATTTCCAAAACCCAATCCCAAAAATTTCCCCGTCTCTCTCTCTCTCTCTCTCTCTCAGAGGAATCGCCCAAGCCCCCGAGATCTGCCGTCGCCATCATCTGAAGAGGGAAACAAGCTGTAAGATCTCTCTCCCCCTCTCTTCCTCTCCCTCTCTCTGCCTACAAATCGAAATGAGGCGATTCCTAGTTTTGCCGTGATTTCAGATAGAATTAGATAAAGAATTATTATTCTCATTTTGAATTTGCATCGTTCAATAGGATCTGAATCGATGCCCTCTTGAGTCATCAAAAATGGAATCAAACCTATGCTCCTGTAACCGATTCAGATCGTCAAATGTTACGGTGCCCTACATCCTGAATGAGCATTTTTTTTTGCTTTAAATTTGATGTTTCACCTCTCTGTTTTGTCAAAATCGCGTCTTTGTAGATAATCAATTGTGATTTGTTATTTAGCTGGACTGAAATAGGCATTAGTTGTGTTTTGGTTAATGCAAAATGTTTTACGAAACTCACATCGCACAAATTGTAAACCAATCATAGAGTTGGGATTTGTTCCTACTATTATTTAAATATGTCTAGCATTAAAGTGGTGGCAGTTTGTTAAAAATTTGACCTTTTTGACAATTTGATTAGCTTCAGAATGGCGAGAGAATTATACATGTCTTGAATGAGATTAAAGTGGTAGTTTGAAATAAGCAACAATAATTTGATGAATCATTTATAAAAGCCAAGCCTTGTGGATCTAGTGGGTCTATTTAAGTGCATAATGCGCTTCAGTTTTGTTGAAAATTGTAAGTTTTCCTGTTGGGATTCTGGTCCCTATTGGCTACTTGCATATGGTGTTATGTCAGTATCGGTCTATGTCTGCTTGTGAAGTCTCCCTTTTTTCTTTTGGTGTTTGTTATCCGCTAATTTTGATGTTTTAGTGGCAAGTAGAAATATTTAATGATATATGATATATGACGTGGCAGCACCCAACTACAACAAGTAGAACAACAAGATAGCTCTAGCTAAATTAGCTGTTTTTTATACTTGTTTGCACTGGAACCATCAGAAGAGATTTTCGCCAAATTCTGACTCAGAAATTTTCACCAGTGCTGTAGTTATACATATTGTTTGATAGGCTCAATGTACCTCTAATCAGAGTTTTGGATGTGATAAAACTTTTGTTCTCTCGACTCAAATTGCTTTCTTGATGGTTGGATGCTGGAATTGGGAAATTGCTTTAGGTATTTGCATTTTAGCTATAAGTGAAAGTATTTGAGATAACACTATTAGTCATCCAATGAGCAAATAGTGTGCAGAATATGATAAATAATTTTTGAGTTTGGTTAATCCACAGTTCAAATCCCTGGTTTCCGTTGCTCCTGACTTCAATTATCTAATAAAGTTTTTCCGGAGATTACTACTTCCTGAGTGTAGAATGTATTAAATTGCATTTGTTCTCAGATAGGGATTGTTCATGCTTCTAATATCATGAGAATGTCCTTATTCCATTGGCGGACATACCAATGATATGTACTATGAAATAAAGCTTGAGCTGTGTTATGCTGTTTTAAGTTATAGTCTGTAACCACCAAAAGGCAGAGAGTTTTGGTCCCTAAGCAACTAGGCTAGGAGTTTTTAAAGTCAATGCACGCTAAACTCTTTGTTTTATAAATTATTGCTTAGACCATTTGGTTATATAAACTATAACAATGTGCTCAGAATAGTATTACAATTTACTTGCTTCTCTGTTTTTTAAGTTTTGCAGGCATAAGGAAATAGGAAATTCTGATGGCTATGGTTGATGAACCCCTTTATCCAATTGCAATTCTCATAGATGAGTTGAAAAATGATGACATACAATTGCGATTAAACTCCATAAAGAGGCTTCCTACTATTTCACGGGCACTTGGCGAAGAAAGAACAAGAAAAGAGTTAATACCTTTTCTTAGCGAGAACAATGACGATGATGATGAGGTTCTGCTTGCAATGGCAGAGCAGTTGGGTGTATTTATCCCATATGTCGGAGGCGTGGAACATGCTCATGTTTTGCTTCAGCCCTTGGAAACACTATGCTCGGTAGAGGAAACTTGTGTTAGGGACAAGGCTGTTGAATCATTGTGTCAAATTGGAGGACAGATGAAAGCGAGTCATATTGTGGACTGCTTCATCCCTTTATTAAAGGTAACAACGAAAGAATCTAATTCATTTGAATTATGGCTTTATGCCCCATTCTCTTGCTATGTCTTGTCCACATTTTTGTCATGGCCGTCACAAGTTTATGTATGGCTTTTTTTTTATTATTACTATGCAACACATGCGTTGCATGTGGCGTACTTGATTTAAGAAGTTAATAGTAAATTATGTATTCTACATTATTGATTCTTAAATATGTACTTACGATATAATATTTACTTAAGGCATATTGATTCTCAATATATCATGCATGAAAGTTACAAAGGCCACCAAATAAAAACTTAATATTGTATGTCTAGTATCTTGTTGGAATAGCAAAAATTGTTATTAATATAAAATTACAAAAGCTATAGTAGCAAGATGGAATCACAACTGATATAATGACATTGTTCAAATAGCTCAGTTCATGGGAATTGTATAGATCAAATTTTTAATCCAAATTAAAGAATCTCAATCAAGGGACAAATTGATCTGGATCTTATATAAGAAATCAAAAGTTTTATGCAATTCAATCAAATGTATCATATATAGGTTTGTGTATTTTGATTTACTCAATGAGCAGAAGATAGATAGCCAATATGTTTTATTTGTTTATCTCTGTAGTTTAAAGTTAATAGGAACATAAAACTTATTGGTGGTTAATAAAAAAGAAGACAAATAAAGTTTTATGATTCAACATAATTATTAATGAAAGAACATAAAAAATGCTTAATGTAGGTAAGAAAATTAAAATGGCAAGAAATATTGAAAGTGTTTGATAAGTTGATAGCATCTCTGAACTTAAAGTGCAAATGAGTTAAGTAATTTGTTAAGAATTAAACCATGAATACATCTAATGAACAAGAAAGCATAACTTACGACCTATATTCGATAGAAAAAGAATGATTTATGATAAATATCACAAAAAGCTCTTTACAATATTGTGCAAGGAGGAAAAATCTTTAAATGGCTCTACATAAACGTAAAAAATAAGTTCGTTCAGTCTTTCTAAGTATTAAAAAATCAATAAAAGTTTACTAATATACAGTAAAAAAATGCACACACTAAAAATAATCGTTGGTTCCCAAATCAGATGTATACATACTGTTAAATATCACGACCTTCAAATAACAATCTTTCTATAATCTATCATCCTTCTCTTTTTCAAGGATTCAAGTGGTAAAACATAAATCAAGAGCTACAAATTGAACATGAGATATAGCGTTCGACTCCATAAGAAATAAATCTTTAAGTTTGCATACCATTTGATAAATATTATCCAATGTATGCATGTGCACATACATATACAAGCTACGTACACTATAGACCATTTGACAAACTTTTCATATAACATATTTCATAAACCATTGTGTTGGTGTAGGAATTTGGCTTATTAGGCGATATGGTGGATTGAAGAGAATGGATGACCGTAGTTTATAGTGTAGAGATGAAAAAATGTTATGTAAAAGGGAAAATAAAAGAATGGTTAGTTAATTGGATCCATAATATATGCATTTAATTAAATTAGTTATGGAATCTTTAAGAGCTAAGAAACTAATTAAATATTATTATTATTATGATTTATAATTAATTTAATTTAATTCAATTTAAGACTCATCAAATGAGGTTTTAATATAAATCAAATAAAGAAAATAATTAAAGTTATAATTATCAAATTTGAGAGGGGTAAAAAGGACAATCAAAAGTTTTAGCACATCAATCATCTTTTATATGTAGTATAGATTTTAGAAAATATGATATTCAAGGCACATATTTCCACATTAGAAAAAATGTTTGAGGAAATATTATATTCAAGGCAAACATATCAGGAGTAGTACATGGGATTCATGAGAGTTCTTATTATGATGATTACATTTCACAAAACACCCCCTTGAACTTTGGGAGGATTCCCGAGAAACCCCCATGAACTTTCCTTTCCACCAATTCCCCCTACCTTAGGAATCTTGTCTCTCATGGAACTCCCTTAAACATTCAAATTTTCCCAGTGGATCCCCTAGTTGTAAAGGGCAAGTAACTAAAATATCATTGCGAGGAAAACTCCTCAATTTAATCATCTGCCATTTATAGGCAATGGACCCCCTTACACCGCCTTTTTTTGCTAGATGGGTCATGAGTCACATAGAAACCTCTGTCTTTTCTTTTATGGGTACCTTCTCAATTGACCACCTCACTTGTTCTTTATTCTAGTTATGTTAAGATCTGTTCTTTCTTAGTTTCTGTTAGTTGTATCAAGCGCTTTCTCTGTTCGAACCTCAGACAACTTTCAAAATTTTACTACTTTTTTAAAACGTGCTCTTTGAGTTGAAATTTTGCATGTAGGATGTTTGAGAATTCCAAATCAAGATAGTTTTGGATTCTCCTTCTTACTAAGAATATTCTTGACTTAATATGGTTGATATATAACAATGTATTCTGAGCTCAAAGTGTAGATTCAGTTGTTCGCTACATGTTGCGTTAGTCAATTTAGACCATTTATAATGCTGGTCATCTTAGACAAATCCGCTGGTGCATATCTGCATTGGACAAATCATCATTAAGCAATAAAGCTGTAATTTACTTTGTCAAACAATGCATATATTCTTGTACAAATATCAAGAATAATGTTTCTAATAAATATTGCAATAACATAGGTTATTAATAATACGATAGTTTCAACATCTAGGTGGTTCCACAGAGTGCCATGTTGTTGATATTTTTTAGCTTTGCTTATTCTAAAACTAAAAAGTTTCCATTTGGGAAAATAGTTTGATTTGGCTTCTTTTTGGTTGTATGCTATGTTATTCGGACATGACAATATCTGAATTTTTAATTGACATAGTCTTCACTTAAGGATTCTTTTTGTCTGAAGAAAGATAGCTTAGAAACTTAGGCATTTCTAAAAAGACACTAAAACCTAACTTGTCAACAACAATGGATAAACACAGATGAAGAAGCCCTAGGCGCATACTTAGCTAACGGACGAAAACCATGTAAACTATGACCATTAGTTAAGGAAATAAAGTCTTAGAGAAGAAACCAAGTAAATACGCTCGATATTAGGCAAATAACAGTTTTCTCAAATAGTTCGCAATATCCTTACCAGTTGACGACACCGGATAAATATAGAACAAAGCTATGTAAGTCGCGACTGCAACAAGTAAAAAGAGAATTTAAAAAAAAACACTAAAATATGCTAACATACTAGATCATACTAGAATGTAAGAGCAAATTAACTCAATTTAAGCTATAAACCATAAATAATAAAAAGTTTAAAATTAAAGCCGGTAGAAACCAAACATATATTATTATAGTGATTTTTAACTACAAATGTCTACAATAATTTTATTGTAGTTTAATCACTCATACAAGACGTGAGTTGTTTCACACAATATCACCAAGCGAGGATATACACCAGCGAGCCGATGGAGGGTTCCCCAGCTGCAGGCCAACTAACATGGCTTTGATACCAACTAACTTGGCTTTGACACCAATCATGACCAGGACTGTTTTTAACCTTTATATGACAGAGCTAGCTCGTGAGTAATACTGTGTAGACGGAGGAGAGGATATAAATACTATTTATAGCTATATCTTCTTCTTCGTTTACATGTTTATCAAAAAGAAAAATGTAAAACAATAAAAATGGAAGCAAGAGAATAGACAACGGAAGCTGAAACAAAATAAAGAACTTCAAAGCAATCTAAGTAGTAGTATTAACAGAAAGCAAACTTACATACTTGATAGAAAGCAAATTTACATACCGAAATATTTTATAAACTAGGAGTTGGGAGATGAACTGGCCAGCATCGAAGTAGTAGTACTAGTACATACTTTATACACTTATCTTACAAACACTCGAAAGAAACTTGAAAGCAAACCTCACTCAAACTTAAAAGAAAAACAAGAAGAGAAAACAAGAGGGATTTCAAAGAGAATTTTCTCACTTTACTCTCTAAAAAACCTCCCCTATCTTCATGAACTTCATCCCGTTTTATAGAGTTTTTAAGATACTATACAAAGATGCTTTGTCATGATTTGTGGGACCCACTCGAGCAAATTTGTCAAAAACCCACATGAAAATGGGTTATAGAGTAGTCTTTGTAAAGTAGGTAGGTATGGATCATGAATTGCTTCATGCTTAAGTATCCTAAGTGAGAATCCAATGTAGAACTATTGACAGCATACTGTATGCAGTCTTTTCAGCTTTGGCATTTCATTATATTTGTAGATTGCTGCTTCTGCTTAGCTGTGATTCAAAATTGCATTAGAGTTTATTATTTTTTAACTATAAAAAATATATTGGTAAAAATTGATTGACTTAAATTTTAAGTCGTTAGAATTAATCATTTTCATAGTTTTACAATAATTTAATAGCATGTCACATATTTCTTCTACCAAGTCACTGTCCATTGGTATACTGTCCGAAGAAGAGAGTTCATTTTCATAGTAGTGCTTTGCCGCTATGAAACATCATATACTTCTCTTGTTTTTAGGCCAATTGGTGGATTGGTCATCCATCGTTCTATGACTGCTTTGACTGCCATTGTCTGAAAAACTTCTGCCATAGTAATATTTGTGTAGATAATCTGAAGTCCATCCGTCATATAATATGAATAATCTTCGATTAGATATTCAAGTTTTTTGTAGAAGTAGATGGTACTTTGAAAGCGATCCAACCTTATATCATAGCGTTCCTAATGAAACTAGCTGTGAGTATGGAGCCTGAGACGGTAGAAATGTCCCATATCTACAAACTTGGAAAATATTCAAAATTGCTTCTCTCATGTAATATAGCCGTAATATTGAATTGAAGGTGCGCAAGATTTATTGAAGATAGGAAGATAGCTGTCTTTTGACAATGGCTGACAATCCTTTTAACCTTATTGGACTGTAAATGAGGGATCTCTTGTAATTCTCAATTTTAGAGACAAGCCATGCTTTTATGTGAGATATATAATTAGGAATTTCACGGAGGATTACAACAAATCGAGGAGAGTTATATGTCATAA